GAGGCCCATCAGTCCCGGTTCTGGGTTGAACCGGGACTAAAGGGTCGGGGCATTAGTACCGACACTTTAGTCCCGGTTCAGGAACCGGGACTAAAGGCCCTTACGAACCGGGACTATAGGCCCTTTTTCTACCAGTGCACACGTCATCAATGATCTAGTTAGGTCAAGATAGCCGATGATGAACTTGTTCTCAAGAAGAATGACAAAGCACAAGGACAAGAGAATGGACAATGTGTTGGCAAGAACTCACACCACAACATAAGTTCCCTTATAGGTTCAGTTGGACATTAAGCAACATACATATGTTCTTCAATCATATGGCAAACATGATTTGAGATGATCACATATGATATGTTGACCCCAACATTGCTCGATTCTTTGCTCACAGAGCTCAAGATACATTTGCTATGGGAGTTGACCTAAACATCCTGTGGGTTGTTACTTTTTCGAATGGCAATGAGAAAGTTGATCAGGAAAGAGGAACACACTAGTCCTTATTGGTGTTCGATGCCACTTGCCAGCATCCTCCGCGACTTGTCCACCACAATATCTCTCGCCACACAAACTCCCAAGCCACCCGCCATCTGAGCACCTCTCTTCATTAATTGGATGCTACTGGTTGTGGAAGAAGGTGACATCGAATAGGATATACATCAACTCAAGCATGGGTGGGATTGTGCAATATTCATCATGTCAATAGATAGGTCTATCGGCCATTGATGGACAGAATGTGATGAAGATTCGCCACACGGGGACTGGCTTGAGAGGGTGCCTTGGGAGGTATGTACCCTGGAAGGGTCAGCAAGCTGAGGTTTAAGTTGGTGTAACTCCTTTTGGGCAACATTAAATTTGGCGATCTAGATAAGGAGCTTTAGGACTTGATAATATTCTATGAAGTAATGAAGGCCACCAAATATTAGTACCTTTTCATACTCCTCTATATAATGCACATCTTATGTTATTTATGTGAGGCGTGAAAGTACAATAATTTTTTTGCTTTTTTCCGTTCCGGTATCTCATATCTTTTTCGCGGAAAGGCTCAAGGCCATGTATTAGATAAAAACCAACACTTAGAAGAACATCCTTAAAAGAATATGAAATCATAAGAAAGTCCTTGATAAAATCATAATTGTCTCCCTTTCGCATCCACTGGCAGCACGCTGTTAGCAAAGCTTGTGGCCTCCTCTAAGCCTTCATATTACTAGAGCAACCTTGTTGAAACCTAGGAACTTGAAGAAGCAGCGGTGGATAAGTTGCGGATGTAGACTATACGACGCCGACGACCACAGTGTGACCAGATTGTCATCATGGAGAAACTAGCACAAAGGAGGCCCAGGAGATAATCCCAACTCTAGCCAGACAGAGGAGGAGGGCACAAACCTTGCAAGCTCCCCAACAAAGTTGCATTGGCTCAGCTTCATTGGATGGAAAAGGAACCAGGGAACAAAATCACGTCATGACTCCACCCCTTAGTAGGATGTCGCTAGTCACCTAGACAATCAAAAACTTCTTCGTTTAGTTGGTAGAACCCACGCCAAAAAGATGAGTCCCATGATCTGGCCCAAATTGAAGCTCCACACGCCCTTCATCAATGCCAAACAACATCACTGAAGAAAGGACATGACAGGGAGGTCTTATTCCTCATTGCCCATCGCGACATTGCTTCACCACCGCAGGCCACACACCTAGACTTAACCCTAACTGTTGCTAGGGCGACTAGAGATTACATACCATCCCAGACCAAGGTGAGCCCCCCACCGGAAGGCACTCGGAGGCAAGGGAAACTAGTGGCGGCGAAAGCCCTTAGGAGGAAAGTCGCCCCTTCTTTCTTGGAAGTCGGGAGGTGTGCCGTTCCGTAGCTGCCTTTATCATTCTGTTTGCTTAAGTTGTATCTCATCCAGGGACAAATACTTCTCACTATAGTCCGAATGTTATTTTAAATTGGCGTATATTTCAAATTGTGATTATCTAACTCATGTCAACAGAATCCTCACTGTAGTCCGAATGCTATTTTGAATTGCAAATGAGTATCTCAATGATGTTTTCTGAGAGTATGAATACTGCATTGGGCTAACTTATTGTCGAGCCAAGTTCAAAAGAGCTAACTACAGCCAGTTTGTGTGGTTCCACATGTATCTCTCTTTTTGCATTTTGCCCGAACAATCACACAAAGGACACACCGCGAAAAAAAGAGGTGTAACAGTAACAGTTCTAGTATTTCATACTACTCGGAAACTGGTCTTATGTGGTCAAAACAATAAATCAGAACTTGTGAAGAACATTCAGGGGTCGCAGTTTTTCTTTTATGTTAAAGCCACCTGGCGCACATTATTGATTTGGAATATAATACTACCTCTGTATCTATATATAAGTTGCATTGTTCATACTCCCTCCGTACCATAATATAAGACGTTTTTTTTTTCGGGAAAAACTTCCAATCTATTCATCTTCAATCATGGTAGTACAACGAATACTAGAAATAATAAAAACTACATCCAGATCCGTAGACCACCTAGCGACGACTACAAGCACTGAAGCGAGCCGAAGGCGCGCCGCTGCCATCGCCCCTCCTTCATCGGAGCCGGGCAAACCTTATTGTAGTAGACAGTCGGGAAGTCGTCGTGCTAAGGCCCCATAGAACCAACGCACCAGAACAGCAACCGCCGCAGATGAAGAGTGTAGATTAAAAGGATCCAACCTGAAGACACACGAACGAAGACGAACGACGAACAGATCCGAGCAAATCCACTAAGGACAGATCAGCCGGAGACACAACTCCACACGCCCACCGATGATGCTGGACGCATCACCGAAACGGGGACTAGGCGTGAGACCTCTATTCCATCTTTAGGGAGTCGCCGCCGTCTCGCCTTCCTGAACAGGACACAAACCATAACAAAGATCGAAAAAAGATCTAAAAACAGAGCCCTCCCACCGGCAAGGGACGAGATCCACTCCGCCTCCATGACCCTAAAGCCACCGGAGACGGGACGGACCAGCGCCAGCGCTGGTGGGAGGCAGAGTACCCTAGCTTTTTGGAGGGGCGGCTGGCTAGGTCAAAGGAGCGCGTGTGTTGTAAGGTGGAAGCCTGCCCATCCGCAGCAGTCTGCTAGTAGCTGGTGACGACCCAGCCACGTAGTAGTACGTCGCAGGGTTCAGATACGGCATGCAGACGCAGATAGTGTCAAAAAACGTCTTACATTATGGGCCGCAGATAGTGTCAAAAAACGTCTTACATTATGGGACGGAGGAAGAACTTAGAAACTTCCGGTGCTATTCACCACATGCCCTGCTCTGTACCTCTACGGCAACATTCCAACCCCGATTGAAATGCATTCATGAATGGCGAAGGTTGAACAAGTGCATTACTCTGCTTATCAGTCACAGGAACGAGGAATCGATGCACACAGTTTTGCAAACAAGAAAAAGATATACGCATCAAGGCACGGATGATGGCGGTTCTTTTCAAGACAAAGAAGAGAAACATTTCTCTGGTCCACATAAAAAATAGTGATTCAGCGAAAAGCAAGGGGCTGAAAGTAACTAGTATTTCAGTAGGACAAACCATGTACAAGAAGGCAAATGTATGGATGCTGCCTGCAAATTAAAGTAACTATTTCTGTAGGACAAACTTGCTGAAAAATCATCGCCGTCTTAGCCAATACCCTTTTCTGCTGCTGAATCGGTATATTCTTTCAACCGAGCCAGCCCCACAATTCATCCCTCCACCTGTGTGGCGGTTGGTTCACAGCTCTCAGCCATTGCTCACATTACATGGGTGTTGTGTTACATCCAAATCATTACTTGAGACCTCCACATCTTCCAAGCATGTGCCCAAGAATTGAAACTAAGTTAATGGGGGGACGAACATTTTTACATCCACAAATCACAATAGCTGGCTCTAATTATAACCAAAAAATGTTCATAGGTTGTATGAAATTTAATAAAATGGAACTATGTTGGTCAGCACTTATATTAGCTGACATCTACAACATAGAAGCAGTCACTAGTATGATGATTGGTACATACCTGGAGAAACTCTTCATATAGGAAATTTAGTATGTACTATGTACACAGTAAACTTTTCATCAAAATTTCTTTCTTAAGAGAACTCCTTGTCAGTTCCTTAATAGCATAACTATGGATATATAATGTATTCTCTAGTATTCATGCTGCATCATGGTTGCGGTTACAGCAACATCAATTCTAATCATTTTCAAAGCCAAATTAACAAACAAGTAACAAAAAGAGTTCAAATCTGAAAGAGATAGGCAGTTCCACTCATTACTCAATTGAAACAGTACACACTTGCTAGGACATGACATAACAATTGAAAGTTTGAAACCATCTGACATGTAGTCATCGAGTTCCTACTAGTTAAATAACTAACCCGTGGGCACCTAAGCATATTTCAGTCTACGTTGTCGACACTACGAAGCAAACAATAGACCAGTACGGTACTAATGCAGCTTAGATACAACGAAACTGCCAGGTCTGTAATAACCATCATCGAGATGTCACTAATTCGAACATGTGGCATGCCACCAAGTCAAAAAAATAAACAATAAGATGCCTCCATAAATCAGCTTGCATGGCATCTGAAATCTCCAAAGCACAAGCCTGGAATAAGGATGACCTGTTAGTTGCAAGGAAAATATGACAAACGCTTCACTGCAAGAAACAAATGAATATCATTGAGCTTGGAATCATATTGCATAGCCATTTGGGATTTTAGACACACATTCATCTACGCTGTACAGATCGGATACCAAAATAAAATAAAATCAGAAGCATCATTCACTTGCCCAAAATAAAATAAAATCAGAAGCATCATCGTGAACTGATCTCTGCTAATGATTACAACCAGTTCAGCTCTAATACTATATAAAGCATTTGGATTGTCTATATTTATTTATGTTGTTGATGTAGAAAAACAATAAAACCACATCACTTGTTCAACAAACATACTAGCACATTAGCATACCTAATGGGACAATCATCTAATGCATTGACATTTCAGCTCCACCATCTCGACCACCAACTCTGCTGCCTACAAGCAAAAGAAACCCAATAAACCGAAGAAAATTCATGGAAGAGGTAAACCGATGAGAAGGCAAAACTACCCTTTATGACAAAGGTAGGAATGGGGAAATGAAACCATATCTACTGCTAGGTGCGCAAGGTAGAGAGACAATCATCATTTACCTAGTAATGAATTATACATGTTAGGACTGTTTAGCTGTTCAGAGGAAATGTATTCAGATAGAATTACTATTCTGAAGAGGATTCGTTCCAGCAATGTCAAATGGGTAAAGAAACTAAAATAAGCTCGTTATTTTTATTTGAGAAACTTAAGTGACTGATGACAATACTAACCACTATTCAGGTTCAATGAACAAGCAATGTTTTCCCATGTATGATATTAAAGATGCCAATAACTATTATGAATATATGATTAATATCAAGATCAATCAAGATACATAGCACTCCACCTGTGAAATCAAATAACACATTACATATAAAATGGTTTGCCAATATAGTTTTAGCACAGTTCCTGCCCATTCGCCAGTTGCCAATAATTAGAAAGAACATGCTAAATACACCAAGAGCAGACAGCGACAAGGGATTACCTGTACCATAGAAATTTCTGTACGGATAGTAGGTCCTGGTTCTAATGTAATTGCTTTGGTGTTCAATAAGATATATAAACTGCGTGGACTCAAGCTGGAGCATGTATTCACCGTAAAACGTTGATAGCAAAATCGCATTGCTGTCCTCATCATACCCCTGCATCATAACCGCCTTTGACTTCCCGGTCAGTTCAAATGAAAAGAGCCCATCTAGCTGAATGGTTTTCGGCAGTTCCCATCCAACAACATCATCACGGTTAGATTTTCTCTCCCATAATTGGATGATACCGCTCTGACAATCTCCGCTCTGACAATCTGGCTCGGGAAAAACAGCAAGGCCCAGACCGCTGTGCTGTGTCCGTACAACGAGAAAGGACCAGTGGTAGCCTACTACATTAACGTCTGCCGGCTTCTGGATCACCACAAGGCTCTGGCTTTCAAAATCAAACTCGAGGATGCCACCTTCAGAAACCAGCCAGCAAAATGAAATTCTAACCAGGACGCTGGGTTTTGCAACACATACACATGTCGAACGTGTGGTCTCTAGTGAGACAACATCCCCCCACACACCGGACTCCGACTGATAGAGGCAAGCAAAGTTGTGTGTGCCGTCAGAATCACTGCCTACCAAGGCCAATCTAAATGGGGTGAAGCGGCAGTCACCGTGCACATGCCCGTCTTCGACGGCGGCGGTGCACATCACCGCCGCGTTCTGGACGAGCCTCCCCTTTTTCCTGCAGAACCCTGGTGGAAACGCAAGGCGGCGCTGGTGACCGGTGAGGGGGTCCCACACGACGGCCTCGCGGCGCTTCTGGCAGATGAGGAGGGCCAGGCCATGTCGGCAGCCGAGAAACGCCCAGCCCTCGCCGCGAATCCATGGCGCCGAGAAGCGCGCGGGTGGGATGCGGTCCCACCGGCCCATCGTCGTGGGCTTGAAGATGGGCCGCTTGTCTCTGCAGAATGCCTCGTCGAAGAAGCCGAGTAGCGGCGGTGGCTTGCTCCGGCCGTGGTGCTCGCGGAAGCGGCGGAGGAAGCCGGGGCTGCAGAGGATGCGGCGCCAGCGCGTGCACACGAGGGATGCGCGCGGAAGGGAGGAGGGCTGCGGAGGGAGGCGGAGGAGGATCTCCTCGAGCATCTCTTCGAGGATGACGCCGCCGTCCAGCGCGGGGGCCGGCGACGATGCGGCGGCGGAGGGGCTGCTCATTCCGGCAAGGCTAGGGTTCGGGAGTGTGGCCGCAGTCGGCGTCGAGTGAAGGGGTAGGGGGTGGGTATAAAATGGGGACTGATGGGCGCCGGCGCACCGGCCCATCGCGCCCCAGCCGCCCGATATAGCGGCCGCCAGATCATCTGCAGCGGCTGAGCCCCTAGAGGCATTTTTTCCGCCGCTTGTGGGACTGCCGGACGTCAATATCTCCCGAACGTTCGGGGTGGGGGGTGAGCGATCCGAACGAATCGTTCGTGCAGCAGGGAAGTACCACCGAACGTTTTCGTTCGTTGCGATCTTCCCCCAGCCCGAACCATCCATCGAATCCCACGTCAGCTCGCCTTTTGCTAGGCCTGCTGGCCCAAACGATTCCCTTTGCAAAAAATATTTTAAAAAGTAAAAAAAACACAAAGACAACCCAACTGGAAAACTGACAAAAAAACTGTACAATAAAAATGCCACAAAAATCTAGACATCAATTGCTATAATTGTTGAGGCTACCACAGTACCTATAGAAAAAGAAAAATGCCATGATAGATGGCAACTAGCAAAAATTTCATGACGTACAAAAAAAGTTGCCGTGCTACAGGAAATAAATTGCCATGGTTGTATGAAAAATTGAAATTTGTTCAAATATAAATTGCCGTGGGCGTAAAGAAACAGCCATGGCCAGCACAACAAAAAATGCCATGTTGCATAGAAAAAGATTGTCGTGACCATAAAACTAAATTTGCCATGGTCGCATAAAAAGGTAATTTTGACAAGAAGCAAAAAGAAAGAAAATTTTCAATGGGCAGAAAAAAAAAGCATTGATGGAAAATCCAAATCTATAAGTTTGCCAAATGATGGCCAAAAATGGTGTAAATTTGCCGTTGATTTAAATTTACCGTGATGCACATTACCCCATGCATTAACATGTTTAAAAAAATGTGAATATTATCATGAGTGCACCATTTTGGCACTGCCATGAGACATGGACATTAATTTTGCCATGATTTATAAGTTCAAAATTGACATGGCAAAACACTAGATTTCCAATGATTCAATGTTTTTTTTTTGCCATTGGTAACTAATGAAATTTGCCATGAATCGTAAACTTAATTTGCCATGGTCATTTACTAAAAATTGCCATCTCCTTGGGAATTAAAAAAATAAAATTTTCCATGGAGATACATCAAACTAAAAATTGCCATGATCAATAAAATAAATTTGCCATGGGTAATGAATGAGAAACTAAAACTTCGTGTATAATGATCTATGAATTGAATTTGCCATGGTCAAATAATAAAATTTACCCTGATCAATGAAATAAACTTGCCATGGTTCGTTAACTAAATTTGCCATGATTGGTTAACTAAATTTGCCATGATTCGTTAATTAAATTTGCCATGATTCATTAACTAAATTTGTGACGGTTGTTTGCTAAATAATTGCCATCGTCTTGGCAATAAAAGTAAATTTGCCATGTCAATAGAAATGAAATTTCTGTAGTAAGTACAAAGTAAAAATTGCCATGTTCATAGAAGAAACATGTTATGAAGATAAAAAGATCATACAATTATTGTATGAATATCCAAAAAAAAATTCGAAATTTGCAACGATGTATGAGGCACACTTCTCATAAAAAAATAAGTTGTCGTGCTACGGAAAAAATTGCCATGGTTTGTACGAAAAACTGAAATTTGTCCAAATATAAGTTGCCGTGGTCGCAGGAATTTGCGATGATCTACGCACACACAAAAAAATGGAACAAAAAATTTGCCATGATATATAAACTAAATTTTCCATGGTTAATTACTAAACTTACCATGAACCAATGAAAAATATAGTTGCCATGGTTAATGAGAAACTACTTGCCAGCATCTATGAACTAAATTTGCCATGGTAAATTACTAAAATTTAACATGAGCAACGGAAAAAATAAAATTGTCATGGTTAAATAATGATATTTGCCGTGGTTCGTAATCTAAATGTGAATGGTTATTTGCTAAAAATTGCCATCGTCTTGGCAATAAAAAGTGAATTTGCCATGGCAAATAAAAAGTTAAAATTGCCATGCTACAAAAGATATATCTGCCATGTTCTTAAAAGGGGCATATATACTGACCCAATCAGCCAAACATGCAGAGGTGGACTCGATGTATCACTCCGACAGTTAACTGAAACATGCTATTACTGAAACAAACAAAGATGGACTCAAATTGATCGAGCAAATTTGCTTGACTCAACATGAAAGCAAAACTAGATGAGGTGTATTAGCAGTAAGTATGAATATCCAAAAATTCCTTGGCACTCTCTACTAAACTTCTATTGAAAGGCAGTGCAAAACAAATGAAACAAGCATGGTAATACTGACTCAAACAGAGGTGGAATCATCGATCAATCAGACTTGTGGCTTCAACAAAAATATCATAGCGATGAGATGGATGGATGCATCTTGTACCTAGAATGCCCTAGATGGAGGGGTCAAAGGCTCACGACGTCGTTGATCTACTCGGAGCAGAAGCGGGAGAGGCTGCCATCGGAACAGAAGCGGGAGTGCCTGCCACCGCCGCTCGATGTCCTCCATAGTCGTCGGCTTCCCTCAGCGACCGCGCCCAGCCGTCGCCCCAACCATTCGCAGCTGTCGCGGACCCTGGCGCTCCTGTTCGCAGGTCCTGTCCACGCGCGACGCGACGGGGCAACCACGACTGCGAGCTTCCCATCGATGCGCGGCTTGGGCGCCCTCCTGGTGCTCCCGATCGCGGCCGATGCGGGCCAACGGAGCACCTCCATGCGCGGCGCGACGGGGACAGCCGCGACGGCGAGGTGTCCGTTATGTGTGCGGCTGGGGCGGCGCTTAGTGCTCCTGCTCGCGCGACGACACGGCGGGGGCAGCCACGACGGCGAGCTGCCCATCGATGCACGGTCGGGGCGGCCCCTGGTGCTCCTGCTTGCGCGGCCAACGCGGGGCGACGGAGCACCTCCACAAGGGCAGCCGTGACGGACAGGTGCCCGTCGAAGTGCGGCCAGGGCGGCTCCTGGTGCTCCTGCTCGGTCGGCCGACGCGGGCGGAGCAAGTCCACGCGCGGCGCGACGCAGGGCAGCTGCTGCAGGGTGCGCCGCCCTTGTTCCCGTATCCACGGTCGCCTGGCCTCGTCGCCGGCAATGACGTGGATAATGTCCTTGCTCTAAGATTCGTGCTAAGGATCTAATGATAGAAAACACGTTCGGACTGAAATTCTTAAATCCTGACGTTCGGGATTTATAGATACCGAAAATTAAACCTGGTGGTGGATATTTATCCACTCGTTGCCCTTACCCAGCCACCACCACCAGGCGAACCGCCTGGCTAGCGGATCGCCTACTCAGTGGCGATGAAGCGCGACCACGGCTCCGGCAGGCTGGCCGGCGACAGCGACGGCGCGTTCCCCAACCCGCCACCATCCGGAAACCGTGAGCATCCAAGTCAACAGTCCCACACTCCCACCCCACTCCACCGCCGCCTCCTTCTCCTGCTCCTCCTCGCCGCGGTCGCCTGCACAGGGCCGCCCGGCGCCGCGTCCAAGCCCGCGCTGCTCGAGCCCTGCGCCTCTGCCACGGCCTGCCCCACACTGTTCTCCTCCGCCCTCCACGCCGACCTCAAACTCGCCGAGTTGGCCGTGCTCTTCGCCGCCGACCCGCTCGCCATCCTGGCTGCCAACGCCATCGACTTCGCTGCCCCGGGGCCAGCCGGCCGCATCCTCCCGGTCGGCCTCGCGTTGCGCGTGCCGGTCCCCTGCGCCTGCTCCGGCCGCGTCCGCAGGGCCACCTCCGTCCGCTACCGCCTGGGGGACACGCTCTCGCGCGTCTACGATGGCCTCACCGCCCCAGACTGGATCAGGGACTCCAACGGCGGCGTCCTTGACGCTGAAGGCGCCGTCGACGCCGGGCCCGCGCTGCTCGTGTTGCTGCACTGCGCGTGCTTCGGCGGGGTGGGCAACGGGGATACCGTGCCGGCAATCGCGAAGAGGTACCAGACCACGGCCACCGACGTGATGAGCGGGCGCGGCTCCGACAGGCTAGCCGGCGACGGCGACGGCGCGTTCTTGGACAAGCTCAGGTGGCGAGGCAGAGGCCGGCGCGCGGCGAGGCCGCGACCAGCGGCGGTGAGGAGGCAGAGGCCGGTTGCCGCATCGAGCAGCAGCAAGGTGAGCCGGCCGCGCCCGCGGGATCCGGCCGGAGAGGCGAGCTCGGGTGGCGCGGTGGAGCCCTGACCGCGCCCGCTCGCCGGCCGCACTCGCCCGTCCGGAGCCGGCGCAGGCCGCGACGGCGGATGGGGCTGGTGGAGCATGGAGGAGATTCTTGCATGCAGGCGGCGTGCACTGCACGTGGTGGGCCTAGTAGTTAGAAAAAGGAAGGAGAGAGAGAATATAGGCTGGCAGTGGGCCTTTTTCGGCCAAAAACTAATGCCGGCGCCCCCAACTGCCCCCCGATTTTTCTGGGATTGCCTTGCGAGCGCCGGCCCTAGTTTTTGTTAAATCCGGCGCAAAACGAGCCTATGGGAGTGCGACTGGGACATTTTTTTAACGCCGGTGCTAAAAAAAGCTCCTGGGGGCGCGCCTGGAGATGCTCTCAGATCTAAACCCCGCTTCGTCCTCCTCGCAGTCATTCCCCACACCCACCCTCCCCTGCCCTCTGGGATAAAAATTGCAACGGCCTCGAGCTCCGTCGACACCTCACCGTACCTCCGCGAGAAAAACGGAGCTTGAAGCTCCACCGCGGCATCCTCGTCGCCGGTTGCCATATGCATCTCCTCGTGCCCGGCTCCACACATGTAGCAGCTGCCTCCTCTGGTTGCAGCTCCGTGTAGCGATGGCTGGAGCTCGGTGGCGATGCAGCATCGTCATGCCATCAACGGCCATGCCGGCTTGAAGCTGTTTTTCCATGGCCATTGAAGCTTTTTTTTTCAAGGTTGAAGCTTTTCACAGACCGGTTGAAGCTTTTCCCGCGCCGCTCGAAGGTGTTTTTCGCAGTTAAGC